GCAGCTCTCTGGATCTGCTCCTGATAGTAGGGATATGTTCCTAGTGTAGTTGATAGGAATTTAGCTACATAAAACCCATTGATGGTTATAAGGCTTCACATAGCCACGTGTGAATCCCATTGCAGTTCCAAGAACAGCAGTAGCTTGGCCTCTCATTCAGTCTGTGTAAAGGTGGGACTGCAGCTCATGTAAATGAACTTAGCTACCTCTAAATTGGCAGTATAGTTGTGGCAGCCTGGAACTCAGCACAGATTAAGTATCTGAGAATTTGCCCAGGATTGTAGGCAGGTTTTGGGGCTTGGGCTGGACCAGGCTTCATATACAACTTTGTCTCTCCACAGGCCACCTCTTTTAGTAACAGGCCTCCACCTACACACCTCTAAGTGGAATCTCAGAATACACTGTACTTTTAGACTGGATCTCTGGGTTACATCACTCTGTTTTCCAACCATATTACTTTCAGCAGGTTCAACTGGCTTTGGCTCCTGCTTTTGATTTCCAGGAGCTGTGGCTGTTGGTAGATCCAGTAACAGAGAACAACGTTGTTCAAATCAGAATGTAATTCCTGGAACATAACAAGCAGGAGGAAAACAGCAAAAAATAACGCAAGCCTAAGGATCACATTGTGTAAATATAACCACAGAGCTTTTCCTTGCCAGCTAGGTCCTATTTAACTCAGCACTGGGGCTATACCTCAACAATTTATGCCTCACCATTTAACTACCCTCACAGTGACTTCCTACGTATCCATGTGCATGAGTGTGTGTGTGTGTGTGTGGGGTAAATCATTTGGGAGTTGTTTTGTTCAAGACTTCCCTCCCAAAGACAGAGTATGTGTGTGTGTGTGTATATTTAATAAGTTTTAAGTGGTCTTCTGAGTCTGGTCAAACTGGCTCATGCATTTCTCCAGTGGGAGTAGAAGGAGGTTTCCAATAGTGAATTTACTGTGTTGCCTATCATAATATCAGGCAACTAAATTAAAATCACTGATGGATTCATGGATATATGGGGAGAGCTCCATCTGGAATTATCTATCCAACTTCCAGAGAGTCTGCTACATCCAGACCACACATATAGCTAAGGTCTGGTTTAAATGACAATTTCACATTTTTCATGAAAATCATGAAATTAAGTAATTTTCATGAAAAACGAAATTTGAAACCCAATGCTACGATATGGCCATTTGTCGAGGAGATCCCCAGCAAGTGGCCATATCATGGCATTGTGTTGCAGCAAGATGGCTGCTGCAAGTGTTGGACGGGTGGACCCACCAATAAAATGTGAAAGGAGGAGGGAAGGGAGTGCTGCTCAGAGCCTGGAGTGACAGGCCATGGACCAACTGGCGCACTGGCCAATTGGTGCTCCTTCCTCAGGCTGATTTCCTCAGTGGTGGTGAGGTGGAGGGGCGGGCCTACCCCTGTGTTCCTCATTAGTCTGTCCCGCTTCGGGCCTGGTGGGCAAGGACCATTAAACACCTTGGAGGGGTGACTTAACAGGACAGGAGCATTGCGCCCAGCTGGCAGCAATCATAGGGATGGCAGGATGGAGGAGAAGAATGTTCCCCTGCCCTACTGCCATAACCCTAATCTCATAACCCTAATGAACCCTCCTCAGTCCTGCCAGCCTCCATAAAGTAGAGGTGGTGGCAGCAGCTGCCTTCCCAGCCCTGTCTTTGTGTGCCAGCCCAGCCTGCCCTGCCCGGCTTGGCCCCATGTTTTGTTCAATGCCAGGGGGGAGTCGCTGCCCACCTGCCCCCTGTGCAGCCTGTGGGCAGGGGGCAGCACAAGGGGGCTGGAGCCCATGAAGCAGTGGTAGCTTGAGGCGGCAGCAGTCAGTGGGAAGGGGCCAGCTTGCAGCCTGTCTGGCTCCAGCTCAGATTGATGTGGAGGGGTCTGACATGAGTCAGCTAGCAGCTGGGTGCTGCTATCCCAGCTTCAAGGTGAAGAACTGGAACTGTGGGTGATCTACCAGTGCTTCATGTGAAGTGGCTCTGCCAAAACCAGGAAAGCAAAGGTACTGCCAAGCTGGACCCTCCCTCACACCTCCTGGTGTCCCCTCCCCTATCCCTGGGAGGCAGCTGTGGGGAATGGGCTCCATGCCCTCCCTGCTGCACACTGGTGGTGGAGGCAGGGAGAAGCCCCAGCTGTGAGGGATGGAGGGGGATTCCCCTGTCTGTCCCCTCAGCTTCTGCCCCTGCTCAGCAAGGTGGAGGGGGGCTCTGCTGGCCTGTGGTGCTTCCTCTTCCTCCTACTCCTCCTTCCTGGTGCTGAAGGGAGAGGATTTCCCAGAATGAGAGACTGCAGTGCAGGGGAGCAGGTGGATTCTGGCCCAGCCATGTCCGACCTGAGGGGCAGCTTTGTGCAGCTGAGCTGGGTTTTTAATATGGGGGAGAGGCTCGCAGCCAATCAGGGTGTGTGTGTGTGTGCAGGGGAAGGGGTGGGTGCCACAATCCGGGAACAAAAACAGTGGCCCCCACCATGATTGGGCCATGATATTAGCAAGTTGGACCCACGATTTAAACTAGGCCCTACATATAACGACTTGTCTTCTATATTAATAAAAGGGTGTGTGTGTGTGTGTGTGTGTGTGTGTGTGAGCGCCATAACTCCGAGACCATGATACCTAGAGACTTGAAACTTTGCATGCATACGAAGGAGACCCTGGGGGTATGCACCTGGGTGCTATTTTTTTTATTTGGCTCAAGAAATTTTTCACCAATTTTTTTGATCTATACTCCATAACCCCCTTGTGACAGGTCAGCCCCAGGAAGCAAAATAAATTTGCATGTGCAAAACATTATTTAGCAAAGCTCAAAGCTCCTGGCCAAAGTCAATCAGTACAGCTGGAAAAGGCTCCGCATGTAGGAGTATTCCCCTAAGGGCTGTGGTTGGGACTGGTTAACAGGACCTGGGAGTACTCACAAGCGGAGTGAGGGCTTAAAGAAGGTCCAGGGAGAAAATCGTACTGGGCCTTCTCAGGGACTGATTAGGGGGTTGTGAGAGGCATTTCCTGTAAGGCAATCTACAAGAAGTAAACTTGCCAAAAATCGATTTGCAAAAGCTGCAGCCAGAGCAGCTGAGACTCCAGAGCAGCAAGTTGCAAGATGAGAAACAAATGGAGCAGCAATGGCTGCAGCCAGAGCAACTGAAGCTCCTGCATAGCAAGCTGCAAACAGAGTAGCAATGGCTGCAGCCAGGAACTGGCCCTGGCGGGAAAAAGAATACTTTGCATTCTTCTACAATCCAGCCTTGGATTACGGTTCTGATCCATTAGTTGCATTTGGCTCAATGGCGACTTCTTGCAGAGACTGCCTTGCAATGAGATGGAAAGGAGAAGCTCCAGGGATATGCTGCAACAGTGGCAAGGTTCAACTGCCCCAAATGAATGATCCTCCTGAGCCCCTTCATATATTGACAGGCAACACTCCAGATGCGCATCGTTTCCAAAGCAACATTAGAAGATATAACTCATGCTTCCAAATGACATTTTTTGGCACCACAAAAGACATCAGAGAATCTGGCTACATGCCCACATTTAAAGTGCAGGGCCATGTTTATCATCGGATTGGCAGTCTGATGCCACTCCCAAATGAAGAGCCCAAATTCCTGTAGATCTACTTCATGGGTGACAGTACAAAGCAGGCTGAACAGTGTTGCAACAATGTCATTCTAACCAACCTGCAGGTAGTGTTGTAGTTGCAAGACATGCTCCACAAGGAAAACAACTGAGTTCACAGTTTCAAGGGTGCCATGGAGAAGATGACTCCAGAATATAATGTTGTCATTCATGCAGACAAAACTCCAGCTGGTGAGCATGAGCGGCGCTTCAATGCACCCACAACATCAGAAGTGGCTGTCATTCTGGCTGGTGAACAACATGGCAATCAAGACATTGTGTTGCAACTCAGGAACAACTCCCTTCAGAGAATTGCTGAGACACACCAATCACTTCAGTATCCACTAATTTTCTGGCAGGGTGATGATGGCTACCATTTTCAGCTGCAACAAACAAACCCAGCAATGGGGCTGCCAACTCAAAAGAAGATTGCTGCCATGGACTTTTATGCCTACAGGATGATGCTGTGAGCTAGAAGTTTCAGTCACATCTTGTGTGCAAAGATCTCTTCCACCAATTTGCTGTGGACATGTATGCCAAAATTGAAGCAGAAGGGTTGAGATTCATTCGAATGAAGCAAAAGAAACTCAGAGTTGAAAACTATGTTCACCTCAGGGATGCCATGAACAATGATGGAGATGCTGCCAATGTTGGCCAATTGGTCATCTTGCCTTCCAGTTTCATAGATGGGCCTCACTACATGCATGAGCACACTCAGGATGCCATGACATATGTGCAAAACTATAGCTGCCCTGATCTCTTCATTACCTTCACCTGCAACCCAGCTTGGGTGGAAGTGGCTAATGAACTGATGCTAGGCCAAAAACCACAGGATTGGCATGTTTTGCTGCCAAGAGTATTCCGACAAAAAGTGAAGGCATTAATGAATCTCATCAATAAGGGAAAGATTTTTGGAGCCATTCAGTGCTACATGTACACAACTGAGTGGCAAAAGCGTGGCCTGCCATGTGCCCACATTCTGCTGTGGCTTCAGGATGAACTTCATGTCCACAGAGTGGATGACTTCATCGGTGCTGAACTTCCAGATCCAGAAATTGATCTGCTTCTGTTCAGCATTGTCAAAACACAGATGGTGCATGGTCTCTGTGGAAGCATCAATCCAAACTCACCATGCATGAAAGATAATAAATGCACAAAAAGGTTCCCACACGATCTTCTGAAAGAGACACAGACTGAACAAGATGGATACCCACTGTATCATCGGAGAAAACCGGAAGATGGTGGATTCACAACAACCATCAAAGTTCATAGTTCTGAGGTTCAAGTTGACAACAGATGGATTGTTCCATACTGTCCACTCCTCTCATGACTCTTCAATGCACACATCAATGCTGAGTACTGCCACTCTGTGAAATCGTTCAAATATGTCTGCAGGTATGTCAACAAAGGATCTGACATGGCTGTGTTTGGCCTCACAAGGGATGGGACTGTGCATGATGAGGTGTGGCAATATGAATTGGGGAGATGCATCAGCACCAATGAAGCCATCTGGAGGATCCTCAACTTCCCAGTCCAAAAGCAACATCCCACAGTGCTTCATCTCAGTGTGTGTCTTGAGAACGGCCAAAGAGTGTACTTCAGTGAGGAAAATGCACATGAACGTGCCCAGGTTCCACAAGACACAACTCTCACTGCTTTCTTCAATCTCTGCAGGGATGATGAATTCGCTCAGACACTGTTGTATCATCAGGTACCCAGGTACTACATGGAATGTTGGCATCAAGAAGTGGGCCCTCCACAAAGCAGGACAAAATATGCCAGACCAGCCAGACATCAAAGCCAGTGATGCACTTGGTCATGTGTATACTGTACATCCAAACAATTTTGAATGCTTTTACCTGAGACTGCTTCTGCATGAGGTCATGGGTCCAACATCATTTGAGGACTTGTGAACAGTGGATGCTACAATCTGTGAAATTTCCAAACAGGCTTGCCAGCTCAGAGGACTCCTGGAGGATGATACACACTGGAACAGCACATTGGAAGAGGCAGCTGCAACTCAGTCACCAGGGATGCTGCAAAACCTGTTTGCCATCATACTGCAGTTATGTGCCGTGTCAAATCCTCAACAACTATGGGACAACCACAAGGAGAATCTGGCATAGGATATTTCGCATCAGGCACAAGTGCAAAATCCAAACCTTGAACTGGACTACAGCAATGCCATCTTCAATCGAGCTCTCATTATCATTGAGGACAAGATCAAGGCTTTGGGTGGCTCTGACCTCCAAACTTGTGGTCTTCCTGACCCAGAATGAGACAATGATAATGAGCGGATAAATGAAATTTTGAGAGAGACCAGCTACAACATTGACCAGCCTACTAAATACATACAGGATAATAAGCCAAGTCTGGTCTCAGACCAAAGAGAAGCCTTCAACAAGATTACTCAAGCAGTTTTCAATGGGAGTGGTGGCATCTTCTTTCTGGATGCTCCAGGTGGAACAGGGAAAACTTTTCTCTTCAATCTTCTTTTGGCCAAAATCCGGCTTACAAACAGGATTGCCCTTGCAGTGACATTATCAGGCATTGCTGCCACACTGTTGACAGGAGGAAGAACAGCTCACTCAGCCTTCAAGTTGCCCTTAAATCTGGCAAGTGCAGAGGCATCAACCTGCAACATTGCCAGGGGTACTGGCAAAGCAAAGGTCCTGCAGGAGTGCCAGCTCATTGTCTGGGATGAGTCCACAATGTTTCACAAAGCTGCCTTAGAAGCTCTTGATCGCACCCTCCAAGATCTTCAACATAATGACAAAACAATGGGAGGAGTGACTCTGGTGTTGGCTGGGGATTTTCAACAGACACTGCCAGTCATTCCACATGTACCCAAAGCTGATGAACTGCAGGCCTGCCTCAAAGCTTCATACATTTGAAAAATCATTCAGCGACTCAGCCTCATGACCAACATGCGAGTGCATCTAACAGATGATGCATCTGCTGGAGAGTTTGCTGCAATCCTGCTCAAACTGGGAAATGGGGCCATGGTATCTGAGAATCAAGATGGAACTATCTTAATGAACAACATTGGGAAAACAGTTGCAACACTTCAAGAACTGAAAGAGGCAATTTTTCCAAATATTGCACATCACTTTCATGACCACAAGTGGTTATGCCAAGGAGCCATCCCAGCACCAAAAAATGATGCGGTCAATACCATAAACAAAGACCTTTCTCAACTGCTTGGCACTGTGCAAAAATACAAGTCAGTGGACACTGTCTCAGACACCAATGCGTCAGTCAACTGCCCAACAGAATTTCTCAACTCTCTCGAACCACCGGGTGTGCCTTCCCACAGTCTGGAGCTAAAGATTGGTGCACCCATCGTTCTTCTCAGGAATCTGGACCCACCAGCACTCTGCAATGGATCAAAATTGGCTGTCAAGAAGCTCATGCCACATGTCATTGAAGCCACCATCATGACTGGCCATGCAGCAGGACAGGATGTCTTCATTCCATGTATTGCAATCTTTCCCTCTGACCTGCCATATCAATTTAAAACTGCCTCAGTTTTGCCATGAGCATCAACAAGGCACAGGGACAATCACTCAAAGTTGTTGGCCTCAGCCTGTGAAGTCCATGCTTTTCTCATGGCCAACTCTATGTTGGCAATGGCAAAAACCTTTTCATCTTGGCACCAGATGGCAAAACATGCAACACTGTCTATCCTGAAGCTCTACATGGATAAAAAAGTGTCAAACACCGTCATAAACTGGGATAGAAAAATGTGATGTGAAATTCTCAGTGCTATGCTAGTCTTACAAAGTAAATACATAAGTCTACCTCACAATTCAGTTGTTTAATACATTTAAATGTTCAACTTTTATAGGTTTTTGGTATGACCAAAAGCTCACAGTTTCAAGCTGTATCACACAAGTAAAATAGGGTACAAAACTGAACACATACACACAGCTTATTAGTAGAGGGAAATAAGATAGAATGAAAATATTTTATTTATAAAACATTAAAATTTGATTACTGCAACCCATGCAAAGCTGGGTACTTTGGCTAGTTATTCATAAAACAAAACTAAAACTCCAACATTCTTCACACCTATGTTGATGTGAAATATAGATATTTAAGGCAATTCATTGCCATTCTTTCCTGTGTGCATTAGTGGGCATTTCTGATAACTCAAACTAGCCAAATACAGGTCAGCAAATTGCCTGCAGTGCCTAGATATGCTTTTGTAGGTATGCTATCCCATGGGTTACATAGGAGATGGTCTTCCATATATTACTTACAGGGATGAGCATCAAAGTATGAGAAACAAGAGATAAAAGATGACAAGTATTGATTGGTATGATACAATTTCAAGAAAATACTTAAAAAAATTATTAGTTCCTTTTCAATCCAACTCTATTTTGAAAGTCATAAAACTGAAAACCAAGGCTGATTCATCCTACTGATTTGTTTCAAAACTGGAGTAGAAAACCCCTTTTTCTTACTTTAAATTCTTTTAGGGTTCAACTCTATTCTAATCTATTTCTGATCATCTCAACTATTGGACTGGTGAGAATGGAATTCGTTACTTCAGCTAAGACTCCTATTAGTATTGCTCAGAAATATACCACCAAGACTACCAAGCTAGTCCACGTCTGTGTCAATGAATAGCAGTGTAATTGTTTTGCACCAACAGTCATCCTTCCTCATCCCATACTCTCCCTACTACCACTTTTCACTTATACTTGTTGCCAGCTCACTAGTTTATGTTCCTATTGCCACCATTTGCATAGCCAATATCTGATAGAGGTAATGAATATACAGAGAGCAAGAAAGAGAAGAATGAGGAGTAAGAGAAGCCTGGAATCATGGAGCAGCTGAGAGCCAAGTTCCTCAAATACCCTTTTGAATTTTGTTCATGCTATGTTGCACTTCACACTGGGGTCTAGGTTATTCTAGAAAAGCTTTCCTGCAAGTAAACTTTCCTAATACAGTCACAGAAGACTGCTTTTGTTGGTGTAATTTTATACCACTTTCCTGAAAGAAAGAGCCCCTCTACATATTCAGGTAAAGGTGCAATGGCATCTAATCTACAATCCACGTAATCATGCCTCCTGCCGCGCCACACATGCATGGCAGGAGATGTGATTGTGGGATTGCACATTAGATCCCATTATGCCTTATAGCTGCTGCAGGGGAAGCCCGGGGATGTCTATACATGTGCTCTGGGATGGAGGGGGAACACTTTAATTAAAGCAGCTCTGAGAGCCACTCTAATTAAAGCACCCAAAGCATCACATCTATTCAGTGTCCCCATGCTTCAAAATGGTGGCAGAGGCCATTTAAACAAGCTTTAGTTAAAGTCCCCCTGCTGCCATTTTGAAGCATGGGATGCTGAAGAGATGTAAAGCGGAGGCTGCTGGAGCACACTAATTAGCAGGCTCCAGCACAGTTGATTAATCAAGTCTGCTCCCACGCATGTTAATTAGCATGTGTCAGAGCAGACATCTGGCACGTGTATAGGTGCCGCAGGATTAGAATCCCAGGATCCCCCTGCACCAGCTCCCATGGCTGCAAGCCCAGCAAGCCCAGCTGGGAGAAGGCTGCCATTGCTATGAGCCTCATGAGGTGCAGGACTGCAGTGGGGGCGGTGTTCTCCCCACTGCAAGCCCTGCAGCTGGCGAGACTCACAGCGGGGGCAGTGCCAGGAACACTGCCACCACTGCGAGCTTTGTCAGCTGTACGCTCTGTCAGCAGTAAGTGGTGCACCTCTGCGGCTGGGAGCTCATTAGCTGATGGGGCTTCCAGCCACAGGGAGCACCTGGCCACACGTTCATTTAATGGTGTGATTAGAACAAGCTACAAAGTTACCTCACATTTTTTGTGGAATAATTTTGTAGCTTATTGTTTTACCGCATCATTAATTGGTTGAACGTGTAGCTAGCTCACAACTTAAGGCATGATTAATCAGTTAATAATGTGTTAAATGTAATGTGTAGAAGGGACCAAAAAAAGATATTGTCAAATTAATTTGTTTACAAATATGGTGGCTCTGCAATATAACTGCCACTAATGCAGAGCTTTTGCTGATATAAAAATCTCATAACCCTAACGAACATTGCTATGCTGGTAAATGTTTTGTGTGTAGACTGGGCCTTAAATAACAGCAATATGTACTTTCTAAAGGCCATAGGCAAAGAGATCTATACATCAGGCCAAGGACTGAGAGAGCACATTTTTTTTCTGTTTACCAACTATTGACTTTTGGTGCTGTCTCTGAACAAAATGAAAAGAGCTGAAAAGTTGTTTTTCCTAGACAGGGCCCTTTCAGTCTCCCCCTCCAGGAGCCACCTTTGTGAGGATTGGAAGAACTCCTAGGCTAGGGATGGAAGTTACGCATGAACTGGTTTAAGTGATCAGAAACTGGTTTAAACGTGTAACAGAACAAAAGTTCAGTGTACATAAACCGAAAAAGCGGGGGTGGGGGAGCTGGGGCCATGTGAGGGGGCATTCCATGTGCTGGGGGGGTTGCACCCTGTGGGGTCCAGGGGGCCCATACCTGAGCAGCCCCCCCACAAGGTCCCCCACACCCACAGTCCCCCCAGTAATCTCCCCACACCTACCTACACACCAGTCCACATCCCTCCACACACACCCACCCACCTTCCCCCACACCCCTTCCCACCCCCTTCCTGCAAACACCACATCCCCCCATCACACACCCATCATTTGCAAAGAAAACCAAAAGTACACATCAACACATATAGGTATTTAGAATTTATTTTATCATGATGTTAGAGACACCGGTATGCTTCCACATTGCTTTAACATTGTAAATACACCAATAAATCACTGCTCAACTGACTGCTGTCTCTCTCTATCTCTCTCTAGATATATATATGTGTGTCTGTGTGTGTGTGCATAGAGTGGTTTTTTGTGTTAATTGTGGAAAAACATGGATTTTGGGATATTTTTTAAAATGGATTTGGAATGCTGCTGCATCAGCCCAGCTGGCACAAGGGGTAGTGTCCCCAGGTACCAAGTGGCTGAGCCCCAGAAGCTCCGGAGCGTGAGTAGCCCTGAACTGCTTGCCAGGGCAGGTTTTTGTACTGCTGGGGCCAGGACAGGGCAGCTTTTTATACTGCTGAGGACAGCATAGGTGCTGGCCCCGGGTCTAGCTCCCCCTGGCTGCAGATCCGGGAGGAGCCAGGCAGGGTTATTTTGCCCCAAGTGGCACAATTTGCTCCACCCCGAAGTGCATGTCCGAGCATGTGCGCTGAGGCAAAAAGCCCCGGTTAAAATTTGCACTGCTTCTATTTGAGCTGCTGCAAGCGCACATGCTTGTATGTGTGGACGCGCCCACTGTGTTTTACTGGGCTGTATCTTAGCTGAGGCAAAGGTTTTTGGTTGTTCTGTCATGTGCTTGAAATTGCAAAGTTCTCACCTCAGAGAGAGGACTATTTTTGTTCCAGCTTTTATGAATTCAATGCCACTACTTTTTTCAATACTCCCCCTCCTCAGTCTGGCAGCAGCTGCCCCCTCTTCCCCTCAGGTGGGGAGCAGGGGGCAGGGAGGGTGGGGGCAGAAGCCTGCCAGGCACTGCCCCCCCGACAGGCAGACCTGGGCTGGGGTCTAGGCCTAGGCCTGCGCTGGTGCCTAGCCACACTCCCTCCTCTGGAGCAGGGAGGGAGGAAGGCTTCTCTCTTCCCTTCCCTTTGGCAGTGGCTGGCAGGCATGCACTGCAGGCATGTGGCTGCATTTCCTGAATCAAAAGTGAATGTGTGTTTGTTTGCTTATTGGTTCAATCTGCTTAGTTTAGACTAACCTGCAAAAACTGAACCAAATCAGCCTCCAGCTTTTTGACTGTCTTTACTTAGCCCTACAATCCAGGAGGGTGATGTCACAAATCTGGAAGATGGAGGCAGTGCCTTTG